GGAAAGATGGGTTTGTTGTAAGAAAGATGGGTTTGTTGTAAGAAAGGTGGGTTTGTTGTTGTAAGAAAGATGGGTTTGTTGTAAGAAAGATGGGTTTGTTGTCAGAAAGATGGGTTTGTTGTTGTAAGAAAGATGGGTTTGTTGTAAGAAAGATGGGTTGTTGTCAGGAAAGATGGGTTTGTTGTAAGAAAGATGGGTTTGTTGTAAGAAAGGTGGGTTTGTTGTCAGGAAAGATGGGTTTGTTGTAAGAAAGATGGGTTTGTTGTAAGAAAAAACGGGTTTGTTGTCAGAAAAAACGGGTTTGGTGTCAGGAAAGATGGGTTTGTTGTAATAAAGATGGATTTGTTGTAAGAAAAAACGGGTATGTTGTCAGGAAAGATGGGTTTGTTGTAAGAAAGATGGATTGTTGTCAGGAAAGATGGGTTTGTTGTCAGGAAAAATGGGTTTGTTGTAAGAAAGATGGGTTTGTTGTAAGAAAGATGGATTTGTGGTCAGAAAAAACGGGTTTGTTGTCAGGAAAGATGGGTTTGTTGTAAGAAAGATGGTTTGTTGTAAGAGAAAACGGGTTTGTTGTCAGGAAAGATGGATTTGTTGTAAGAAAGATGGGTTGTTGTCTGGAAAAATGGGTTTGTAGTCAGAAAAAATGGGTTTGTTGTCAGGAAGGATGGGTTTGTGGTCAGAAAGACGGGTTTGTTGTAAGAAGGCGGGTTTGTTGTAAGAAGACGGGTTCGTTGTAAGAAGGCGGGTTTGTTGTAAGAAAGATGGATTGTTGTCAGAAAAGATAGTTATTTAGAAGCCTATACTAATGTTTCGTTTCTCCCTTTTAGTCAGCATCGACTGTGTCCACCTGTAAAACATCATACGATTGTGGTAAAGGTTCTTGTTGTCGAGATGAAAGACAGAGAGTTATTTCCACCCAAATTGGGGGTAAGGACAATTGTTATTTAAGGGTGTAACCTGGGCTAGCTTTCACGTCATGAACAGGCCTGTTACTCTGTTGTATTCGCAAATGGAAGATGTTGTGAACATTCAACGTTGTGTCTTTTTCGAGGTGGTTGTCCACATAATTGCTTAACAAAGAATTGCCGGAGATCCAGAAGTCTGATTTAAATGAGAAATATAGCTTATATAAACCTCAAAATTATATCTTGTAGCCATTATTCTCTATAAGCTCAATCAGCTGGTAAAACAAAACAATTATTCTCGTTTACATCTTGTAACACTGTAAAATTATATTTTATTGCAGGCTTTATCCATATGTTAGGAGGTCAGAAAGGAACCTGTACTGTTGGTAAAGCTCAGAAAGGGGAACTTTGTGATTCAGCCTGCGACTGTGATACCGGTAAGTTTTTTCTAAACAATAACAGAATAACAGACTGAAAATTGGAAGGGTGCAAATGCTATCAATGTCACTGATAGATACGAAAGTTTAGAAAACCTCTTTACAATCCCTTTAAGTTTAATCTATTTCTTTTTCATTTTGTTTTACGAAGCGTCAACAAACTCGTTCAAATGCCAGTATAATTTCAGGTTTAACATGTTATCGACCAATGTCGGGTAGATGTTGCTTACCACGCACCTGCCACGACGAAGCCTACGTAAAAGAACGACAAGCCTACTGGGCAACTTGTCATCAAAATCCGAAATGCCATTTTCCACATTAAATTTTAAATCCGAGCTTTATTTTTAGGTTTAACTTGTTATCGTCCCGTGGCAGGTATACCCTTGCCACGCACCTGCCACGACGAAGCCTACGTGAAAGAACGACAGGCCTACTGGGCAACTTGTCATCAAAATCCGAAATGCCATTTTCCACATTAAATATTAA